TAATTTAGGTTTTTTTTTTAACAAACTATAATAAAATTTGCTCCAGCTTTTGCTAAAAGGTAAATAAAAGCTGTGTACATTTTTTGTACATGATTTCAAAAATGCTAAATTTAGAGTTATGACTCTTTTGAAAACAATGTGCGATATGTAAATCCGCATTTCAAACTTCGTACAAAAATTATGAAAATTCAACAAACTTAAACAATTGCACCCAAAAACTTAAAAAATTTAATTCAGAATTTTTAGAAAAATTTGGGTATACAGTTTTGTAGCCCATAAAATTTTAGTAGGTTGAAGTGCAAATTACAAAACGCTAGAAAATCGCGTTGACTTATAATAATTTTTTTTGCAATCGCTTAAAACTTGTACTTTATTATACTAAAATTTAATAGTCTACAAAACTGCGTACTCAAAAAACTCTAAAAAAAAATTAAAAATTATTAAATTTGTAATGTACTAATTTTACTCAACTTCGGTGTAAAAAAAATAAAATTATTGTAGAGTGCACCCCGTAAAACTATACTTAAATATTGCGCAATATTCATAGCTACCATTGTGAATTATTTAGAATTTTTTTTGAGATGGCATATTTTCAAAAACTAATTATTTTTATCAACAATTTTGGATGTGAAAAATTTTTCAAGAAAAAAACCAAATTAATATATTTCTCTTCATAGAGAATTTTGATGTGGGTATGTGTGATTTTTTCAAATATTTTTCCTCGCCCCGTTCTCGAGATATTTGGAAAACTATTAAATCGATTTGTTTTTATTTTTTGCTGTAAAGTTTTTAAAAATGTATTAATCAGATGTACGGATGATATTTTCAGTGCTTACAAAATCATTTGTTTGACGAGATGTTTGTGGCATCTCCCATTGCCGCTTTCGTTGTTTTGCTTCCATTCGTCCAAGACTCTTGACAAAGAAATGATTGTTTACCACCAAAATTAACTGTTCCACGTTTCTCTAACGAGTGGTATGTAAAATAAATAAATAAATAGCGGAAGGATCTCTCTTCGAATGTTTACGATAATTTTGAAAAAACCTAAAAATAAATGACACCTTGCTATATAATGTGACATAAGTCACTTTATAACTAATGTGCTTAAATGACTTGTATCTGACCGCGCTCGTTATTCGTTCAACTTCATCTACCAAAGGCATTCGGCCACAAGTAGCTGGTCATTTAAGCACAAGACGAAGTGACTTATGCCACTTTCAAAATAAACGGCTCATATTGAAATGGCATTCTCAGTTTTGTTCCTTCGGTCAATTTTTTCCATACATTGGTTGCAAAGTTTTTGCTTTTTATTGAGTTTATTAAACGACTTATTTGTTTTTTTTTTTTTGATTACATAACCCAAAATAGTTTATATTTAAGGGTCATTTTGACCAACGTTTGTAAAATGTGTGCTGGAAGCCCTATTTGCAAGGCCTTTCCTGGACCAAATTATTCTACAAAAATGTTCCAAAAAAATTAAATAAGGGTCCACAACAACAGTAAGTTTTAAAGCCAAAAGCTTAAAATGTTTTATGCCGGAAATATCCAACCATTTTACGTTACGAAATTTAAAAGCAGATATTACATGCAAAAGTTTCCTTGCTTCTTTGTTTACATTTCTCGCAATTTGCAGCAGTCTGGTTAACTCTCTTTCCCCCTTGCACTCTCGTATTTTTTATTTTTCTTAAATTGGTTTTGCACTTTATCTTTTTTACAATCTTTCTCTGGTATTTCTTCTTGCTCTTTCTCTCACTTCACTTTACTATCCTTTGCCTCTCTTTCTCTAAATGGTCTCATTCATTTCCATTCTAATTTCGAAGCTGTTCATTTTTTGACTTTACGTGAACCGGTTCAATTGCAGTTTATTGAAATGTAGCAAAATATATCTTTTTAGTTAGGTGTAAACTTTACGAAGAATATTTTTAAAATATTTTAAAGAGCATATTATTCTTCTAACATGAACTTTAACTCCATAAAACCAAATCAAAAAAGCGTTTTATACAGAATTGTAATAGCTTGTGACCCATTTCATGGCATGCAACAGTTATAAAAGCCTAAATAGGTATGAAGGTAATAACAGCAGAAAAAAAATTTGCAACATAATATTTTCTGTAAAAAAGTAATGCTCAAGTAGGGTGCGCTAGCGCCAAATTTCCATGTTTTTAAGCTACGAGTACATGCAGCCCACAAAGTGCCAGGCCAAACAAGCACCAGGCCAAACAAGCAATGCTCAAGCTGTCTAACTCACTACCAACGTCTGAATTGGTGCATGTACTAATTAGCTCACTTTCTATACATATATTCAGATGAGTTTTTAAGTATGCGTATCTCTTTTTAGTTAAATGTACATATGTGTGTGTGGATGTAGGTGCAGAAGCATATATGTATACACAATATAAAAACGTCTGTAAGGATATTTACATACACATACATATATACACATATGTGCCCTGCATAAAATCTGACTAGCTCAGAACTAGCGTGTAGAACTAGACCTTTTGCCGACAGTACTAGTTCTAGTTCAATACCCAAGCAATGCTTTCAACTGTCCAGTTTTACATGGCGATGTCATTGGCCGTGGCAATTGTCGCCCAGTGCATTACTTTGCAACCAGTTTTTAACCGGTTCCATTTTGGATAGTTTTTTTTTTTTGTATAAGAAAACGTTTTTTGCGATTCCATTTTTGGATATTTTTTTAGTTTTTTCTTTCCTTTTACACTTTCCATATTTGTTACATATTTTATAAAAAAAATATTGTAAGCTGCTCGCAACAATTTGAATTCATTAAATTTTAAAACTCACAACTACTGCCTCCACCGCGATTTGAACTCGCGACCAACGAATCTTGAGTCGGAAGTCTACTCGTTGAGCTACTTTCGAATTGTACGAGTAGCGAGTATTTGCCAATTTACACCGCTAGTTTCAACTGTCTCGTTCTGCATCCATTATGAACTAGTTCAGAAATAGTTCTAATATATGTAGTTCGGAACTAGCGCTTTGTAAGACAGTCTGTAAATTTTACTGCAGGGTGCTTCTAAAGCACACATTTATAACCAACATTTTCAAGAATTACGTTTTTTTTTTGCTGGCAGTAAAAGTGAAATGAATTCATAATGGGCTCCAAAGTGTGCTCACTTTACTTCTGCCACTTTTGCAAACGCTATTATGTGTTTGCGAAAATGAAGAGTAACGATGCTGTATGAATATTAAAATAAGCTGCACTAATGACTGCTAAAATATGTATTATGACTAAGTTGGCAGATGTAGAGAGAGCGCTGGGAAATAATGGTTGATTTAACTTTTCATTTTTGTTTGTAATTTTTTTCTAAAACATTGCATATACACAGGCGCGACAGCACAATTAACTTGTTTCTGAGCAGGGTTGCAACTCACATAGGTTTTGATGCGTCCGTGAAGAAGTTCACCGCTCCTTTTTTCCAGTAACCCCGCTAGCCCAGTACTCTCTTCAGGGAGTTTAGGAAGAGAACGAGCTGCTGAGAGCTTTTTCGAGGGTGCGGTAATCTATCCGTTCAGGAACGAAGTCAAAGACCTCCAGCACTACAGAGTGTCCAGCTTTCGAACCAGTTAACCACCTGGTTTCTCTGAGCATAATAGAAGTTCGTGCCGCGACAATTCTTCCTCCAATATCCACGGGCGCAATGTTCAACATGACGGTAAGCACCCGTGTAGTTGTGGTCCCACTAATGCCGATTAGGGCGATCCGCTGTGTATAGCCAACTTTAGTGAGTTCCACCAGACAAGCACACCGTAAAATAAGACAGGCTTAACTATGGTTTCATAGAATTACTTTGGACGATCTGCCCCACCTCTTACCATTAGCAGTGCAAGGCAACCGATGCCTTTCTCGACTTTTCCTTAGTATTAGGCTTCCTCGACAGTTTCCTATCCAGAAACAAGCCTAAGTACTTGACCCTGTCTGAAAGCTGCAGGCATCTTGAACTTCCTGGTAAACAAGACCAGTTCCGACTTGCTTGCGATTTATTGCGAGGCAGATCAAAAAGATAATCTAGAAATCGTCCCTTAACCAAAAGCGCCACATCACCTACAACAAGCGATCACACGACAGCCCACTTTTTCCAGTCCCTATAGAAGATCGTTTACAATTGCAATCCAGAGCAGAGAAGAGAGAACACCACCTCGCATAAAACATTTATTTTTTTCACTGTGCAAGTTATAATTTTTTCATAATAAGCTAATAGTAAAAACAAATACTTTTAAAGCAAGCTTTCTTAATATAAACGGACCATTAATATTGGTTTAAATATATCAACTCGTGCGCCACCTATCGGGAAAAGTTTTAGTGGAGTTATTCCTTTTCATGTAATTAATATACTTTCTAAATATGAACCAAATCGGCCTATAAATAAGGATTTGTCAAATATCTTAACTCCTGCGCCATCTCTCGGATTAACTCATCCTTCGTGATGCATTCTCAACGAGTTCTGAGCGAACTGTGAAGTTTCAAGTCTATAGGTCATCCGAAAGTTGGTCAAAACTTTATTTCAAAATTTTCCCCTAACAAACATACATATATACATACACACAGAACAAGTTAAATAAAACTTTTAAAAATTAAAATATTTTGGGAAAATTACCTGATTTGTAAAAATGGCATTCAGATCCATAATCTGCGACCCAATATTAAGTTTACGTGTTTCAGATTTTTTTCCTTGTCATTTCAAAACTCGATATTTTCAAACATCAGACTCTATGTGAACATGGCTTTGACTAGGATCACAACAAAGTTATGTTGTCGTGTATTTTTTTAGGGTTACTTTTTAGTTGAATAAATTTTCTGGTTAGCATTGGCATGTATTATCCTGCCGGAGAAAGCAAGTAAAATATCACGTGCAGACACCGCTGCATGTACTCTAAAATTCAATTTTCCTTAACAAATAATCCATTCAATATGAATCACTACATACGAGTACCTCTCACTAACCCATACATATCTTTTTTCCCTCACTCTCTACTTGCAGTTATCATCCAATGACCCATTAGCTGCCGATCACAAACGCCGCCACTGCCGCTTCCAACGTCAGCAAATCCATGAGCTTCAACTGGCACAACGCTCACTCAAATCTCAATTAAATGAACTGAAGTATCATCGTATTGGCGAGCGTGTGCGCAATTTAGAAATTGAACAGCACCGCATGGCCGATGCCAATTTCAATTTGAGCCGGCAAATTGCCTCACTCGATAAATTGCACACTTCAATGCTGGAACTGCTCGAAGATGTCGAGAGTTTACAAACGAAAATGGACAAAAACGTGCCAGAGTTGAGGCATGAAATTTCCAAATTAGAATTCTCCAGTGCCCAGCTCACTGCCGAACAGAGCTTGTTGCGTGAAGAGGGCAAGAATGTAGCACGTTCAGTGCAAGCAATGGCGGTGAGCGTAAGTACGCTGCAGGATGAACGCGATGCCAACAAGCAAATGCAGGTGGTAGTGACGCAGCTTCGGGGAAAATTGGATCGCCTCGAGAGTGTTACACAGGATATGCAACGTGCCGTGATGCAACAACAGCAACGCCATAGTGTAGAACACAAGGTGAGTTCATGGAAATGTGACGTGGATGGTATGATGAATGTGTAGGGAAATGCGCGAAAGTGGAATTAAATGAATGTTTGTGATTTGAGGATTTTTTTTTTTGGTCCAGTATTTAGTTGATTCTTTTTAGTTCTCAGCAAATTTCCGGTCTAACAAAACTAAATATATTTTTTGAAGTATCTGTTCTGATGCAATAAAAACTTAAAAGACAATAATACAATTCCAGATACTTCAATGAAAAAAATTAAGGGCGCCTGGGCCACACTGG